GGGGGAATGTTGAAGGGGAAACGGGGGAGGGCGATGGAGGAAGAGCATTTTTTTGTTGTTGTCGAAAACACGAATTGAAAGCATTTCACTTTTTCTCATTAGAAATCGTAAATATGCCTTTTTTACAGGAAAAAAAAGATTGAAAACTACTTTTCAATAAAAAAAAAATTGTTGACAAAACATTACTTTAAATAAATATTTATATTTTATTTGATCTTTTAGAAAAAAATCACTGGTAAAATTATGACGTGTCAAATACAAGAATTGTTTTTTCTTAAAAAAAAAAGCTACTTTTTGAAGAAAAAATAATTACTTTTTCAATCATTTCAGGATTTTACTTTTTGTCTACTGCTCATTCGGAAATAAAACGTGAAATATGACTTTTTCTCAATGAAATAAAGACTTTTTTTCATGGGGAAAAAAAACTGCTTTTGGTTGAAAAATATTGTATTGAAAAATAAAACTTCACTCAAGTAATATGAATAGTATTGAAAATGGGAGACTTTTTTTATTAAAAAAAAAAAAAACCTACATCTTATTTTGACCAAAAATAATGTAATTAATGAAATTGGGTCCCCCCCCGCCCAAAAAAAAAAGTCTTAATTTCATGAAAACACTTCGTAAGGAAAAAAATGGGAAACACCTACTAAGAGATAAATTAACAGCCTGGAGGAGGAGCCACCGCCTCTCAATCATGGTACGCCGCCCTCGATTTAACCCTTAATCATTTGCGGCGTCCCACCTGGCTGACTGGCAACCACATGGGAAGGGTGGGGGGGAGGGTCGTGCCCATCAATGAAAACAAAGCTTCAGAAGCAGCCCATCTCATCGCATCCGCACGCGGCATCTGCACCGTCTCGCTGTGTCGCTGTTAATAATTCATCAAAGTTGGCAGTCTGGGCTTTGATGTCGCCATGGCAACGGCCATCGGCTGCCGTGTGTACGGGTGTCTCAGCGTGTGCGGATATCCATGTACATCGAGAGGTGCCGTGGCCTCAATAGCCGGGGAAAAGATACACCGATCCACCCCGCCACAGGAGGATTAAACGCCGGGCTTCATGAATATTGCATGCGTGACACGCAGCCTGATGCTTCACACTTGAGTGCACTCAAGTATTTCCCGACCTCGTGTCCCTGTTTGTATGTTTTGCTAATCATGTTCAGTAGGAGTTGTTTTACAACTCGTCATTATATTAATAACAGTGGCTCATCCAAGACGTTTGGTGTTATTATGTTACCATTAAGCTAAATGATTTTCGTCACTTTATGGGTTGGTTGAACATTTTGATGTTTACATTCACAGTGTTTAATTCTCGATTGTTGTATGCTCTGTTTGTATGAGTTGGCGCTTTGTCGGTTTTCGAGAAGCGGTTGTTTCAAGGTTTGAAATTACTGAAACACTTTCATTCACCCTGTAAATCACAGGTGTCAAACTCATTGCCTGGGGGCCAGATGTGGCCCACCACATCATTTTAAGTGGCCCGCAAACACAAATCAAAGATGACAACTTCCACAATACTTGCTAAAATGTGTACCAAAACTTCAAATTTTCATGTCAAGTCAAGTGAAGTACAACTTTATTGTCAAATGCATGTTGCACATACAGCACAGATGAAATTTCCTCCCTCTCAACCAGACAACAAGACAAGAGGAGCCGCTGCGGGTGCCCGTGCCGCCATCAATATGTAATAAATCAGTGACATATTGTTAGCATTATCTTGTTACCAAACCCTTCATTACAGTTACTCAACCAATAAGTGAATAAAAGGTGATTCTTGACTTCGTTACATAGTTTCCGTCAACACGGCCCTCCAAGGCAAACGGTCATAATCATGTGGCCTGTGACAAAAATGAGTTTGACACCCCTGCTGTAAACTGATAACATGATAAGCTGCCCAGTGTAGTAACTGCTGTCCCTGAAAGGGTTAAAGTTGATGTTAATTTACTGGAAACTGATAACATGATAAGCTGTCCAGTGTAGTAACCGCTGTCCCTGAAAGGGTTAAAGTTGATGTTAATTTACTTTTTTTTTTACCTTTCGTATCTTGAAATTTCTTTCGTAACAAGAGGCAATATTTTCCTGTTGAGGCGTTTTGTAACTAGAACATTTCGGATGAAGAGACGTTCGTATGAAGAGGTACCACTTTACTGAAAGACGAGCGTTTACACAAATCCTGCTGTACTTCCCGGTTATGTCCATCTGCACGAATGCTGAGAGACTATTGCTGTGCGTCATCAAGCTATTACATGAGAATACTGTCATGAAAATCAAGCATAGCACACAACTGTTGGGTATAAATGCTGAGAGACAAGCCTTCACACGACTCTTGTTATAAACCATATAAAATGTATTTGGATGAATGCTGGGACAATCCCTCATATTAAAACAAAATAGAAGAGAATACTGAAATTCAAGCATTGAAATACACCATTCCATTTCTTTTTACTTAATAGCTTCAATTTTCAACTTCAGTTGAATGCTGAGGCACGAGCGTCCTCTCATCCCACAAGATGAATATTTGCCTGCTTGTGAGCGACGACAATGATAAGCCGGAAGGGAAATATTGCGGCTAATGAATCCTGGCTAAGGCGCTCATTGCCATGCGAGCCACCTCAACTCCACTTTGTCAATTACAAAAGGTGGAAAACACGCAGTTCCCCCCTCTACTCGCCTCCACACCCTTGCTTACACAAATGACTAAGTGGCCAGGCGGACACAACACATGTGTGAATGTGTCTTTCAGCATGAGCGTGTGTTTTTAGTGTGTGTAAATTTGTGTGAACCTGCGTGTTTGTGTGTGGTTGAGTGTAAGTGACACTGTAAGTGTATGTGTGTTTCAGTTTATATGAGCGTTTAAGTGTGCTTAAGTATAGCATGTGTTAATTGTACCAAGTACAAGCCAGAGGAGGCGAAATAGCCGATGACAACGTAATCACTGCCGCGCAACCTTTGATTTCGGTCAGGACAACAGAAATGTCAGGGGACTTGGTTTAGTGCCTGTGGCTCTCCCTGTGTTTATGAGTGCGTAAGTGTGTATGTTAGATTGCTGGACTTGAAGTATGTCTTCAAGACTTTATACGTGTTCAAGTGTTTGTTTAAGGGTATGCGCGCGTTAAGTGTGTTTGAGCGTTGAAATGTGTGCGTTTCAGTGTGTGCACGTGTGTGTTTATGTCCTACCGCAGGCGACAGCCATTCTGTCGTCCGATCGCCGTGGAAACTGCACATGGAATGTTTTTTTTCTTTAGGTTGGTGTTCGCTGCGGCGCACACACACACACACACACACACACACACACACACACACACACACACACACACACTTTTTGCATTCATCAACAAAAGAACAGGGAACACACTCACACACACAAGTGACGCATACGTCTTGATTTGTACACACACATTTTGAATCGTTATGTGCTTTGCTGCAAGAGCGACTCTGTTGCCATGCCAACGCACGCTCAAGCACACACACACACACACACACACACACACACACACACACACACACACACACACACACACACACACACACACACACATTCCTATTGCGATTCCAATGCAGAGACATACTCACCAATCAGAGTATAGCGACCGAGAGCGTATGTCCCACTCAAAGTGCTGTTGACAAACGCAAGCCGGGGGCAATGACCAATTCCACTTATCGCGACCATTCCACTTGTATTTCTGCGTGTGACATTTTCAAGTAGTGATTGATGGGCGTGGGAAGTGCGTTTGCACTTTTGGCACACCTAATGAGGGGCTTGTGCTATCGATCCGTCATGCCGTGGAGAAATGTGACAAATAATATTACATCTGGCCAGGTATGACCCCGCCCAAAGACATATTTTTATGATTGTTCTGCCCATTCTAGGGACATCCTACTGCTTCTAAATTTTCGAGCCCAACTGAAACATTCCAACACAAAGGAATTATTGACGACATTTCCAAAATTGCCACTTTTGTAACTTTTGTAAAACATTAGAGTAAATGCCTTTTCAAATTCGACAATTTTCAAATTAAGAAATATTTTACATGTTGACCTTTTCCTTCCACATAACCTGACCGAAAAGCAGTCCAACTTCAACTTGTTCAGCTAATGCAGAACACCATGGCAATTAAAAAAAAAAAATCACTTCCCCCAAATTGTACACGTTAAAATTCCCTAATAAGGACATATTGAACTCTTCCTTCTACAGTTCTTGGTCAATTCCTGCCCTTCCAACTACTCTCACATTCTACATTTTGACAATTCTATGTGTCAACAATCCACTTAATTCCATCAATATAAATCCTGCATATGAACCCCGCCCCACACCCCCACATGCACCCATATGTTTATTATAATTCAAGTTTGTCTACTACTACTGGACAAATATTCATTACCTAAACAAATTTGGTCAATTTGCATGTTTTGAGCAGATCTGGGTAAGAAACATGTTGGATTTCCGTGTGCACTTGTTCATCGAAATGGGTTGTATGGTCACAGAGCATTTCAACACGGTGCCCGGTTGGCCACATCATTATGTACAGGCCAAATGCTGTCTTCAATACGCACTGAAAGATGTTTATGATTGTGGTTGGAATTTGATGGTTTCCAATGTTTTTTACACTCCCGGGTAGCTAAAAAAAAAATCCCACATTTACATTTATAGAAATAAAATTAATGCATTTAAAAAAATGCATTTGAAATTATTAAAATAAGTCTAAATACAACAAAATAGTATTAAAAACAAGTTTGACATTTTTATCGCCTTCTGCTGTTAAAAATACCAACCAAAAATGTGTTTCAAATATCCCCCCCAAAAAAAATCATAAACTTTTTTTTTTAAACTGTAAAAAATACAAACAAAACATGACTCAAAAAGAGTACTTTGTAATATTTTCACCCACACTAACAACAAAACTACAACCCCCAACATCCCACACCGCCCCCTGGAAAAAAAAAAGGTTTTGTTTTGGTTTCAAAGATAAATAAATAAATAATAAATAATAAATGAATTATATATGAAGCGGAATAGAAAATGAATGGATTTAATCACAAAAAACTAGTTACATCGCAAAAGAAAAATGACAAGCCCAAAAGATATCAAAACCACTGCAAGCTCATTAACCAACAAAAAAATGTACAAATTTGATTTTTTTTTAAATCCCAAAATAGATCTAAGCCCCTGCTAGCTATAAAACAATCAACAACAACACAATGAAAAATTAATACTTTTTGAATTTAAAAAAAAAAGTGCTAGAATAACGCAGCAAACCCAAAACTACCAACCAGAGCAACAATAGTAACAACAACAACAAAAAAAAAACTACAACTAAATGAATTCCTCAAACAAAAGCAAGCGTCTATTATCTCTCAACTGGACTGTGCAGGCGTACCTACCTATCAAACTCCCTCAAATATTCTTTGTATTATTTTCTTTTTTTACATGCAACGAAACACACAAAGCGTGCACGTAAGACCCAGAAGGAGAGCGGGACTCACCATGCTGTCGTAGTGGATGAGCTCCAGCTCGTAGTCGGGCAGGATGTCGCTGCGGTTGTTGACCAGGTCGAGCGCCATCTGGGCGGAAGGCATGCACGCCTGGCCGCCGGGCCAGCCGCCGCTCATTGGGAACAGCGCGCCGATGTACAGCTTCTTCTTGCCTGCGCACGGCCGCGCGCACAGCAGCAGTAGCGAGAAGAACAAGTAGGAGACGGTCAGAGAAGCCCGGAGGAAAGGCGCGCGCCACCGGGCAGACGCGCGACTCGCCGGCATCACTTCGACAACACGTGGACGATAAAGACCGGAAAACCAAATGTCAACAATTACATAGTCAAGTCAACTGAGCACTAAGTCACCTCACGACGAAAACTAAACTAAAAAAATACCCCAAAAAGCAATACTCGGCCAATCTCGCCACCTTGCTGCTGCTGTGCATCAATCTTGAAATGTGGTGACAAGTGTGAGATTCACCACTTTTAGGCAAAGAAAAAAAAAAGGCGCGAATGAGATACCAGGTGCAGAGTGTTGATTGGGAGAAGCTGGAGCCCCCACCCCATTGGCTCCCCCCCAAAAGAGAGAGAGAGCGAGAGAGAGAGAAAGCAGTCGTGTGTGTGTGTGTGTGTGTGTGTGTGTGTGTGTGTGTGTGTGTGTGTGTGTGTAGTTGCGAGGAGTGGAAATAGCAGCAGAAGGAAGGCAAGCAACATCTCCCCCTCCTGTAAGACTGTCGTGTTGAAAACAGATGAAAAGATTTGCAGCGGAAGAGGAAGCGGCGTCTGATCTGCAGTGCATCGCTCCCCTGTGTGTGTGTGTGTGTGTGTGTGTGTGTGTGTGTGTGTGTGTGTGTGAGTGTGTGTGTGTGTGTGTGTGTGTGTATGTGTGTGTGTTGTGTGTGTGTGTGCAATACCTGCTGAAAGATTAGCTAATGAGTCAAACGCTGAGTCGAACTTAATTTGATCACATTTTGGATTCTTCTTCCGGTTTTGGGGGGTTGGTTGATGTCAGCAGTGTGCAACATAAGGATGCAATGCTAACAAACAACCTCACAGAAAGTGTTGTGAACTAATTTGCTGCCGTGGACGTGTGTGTTCATCGACTGGAATTCAACCATCTCTTGCCATCGATGAATATATTTGTCAAGTATGTTTCTTTTTTTAGCAGGGAGGCATGGAAGAGCGTCTCGGCCAGCTTTTCTGTGAAATTCAGCACTGTAATGACGAGCTGATTGCTGTAGATGCATCGCTTTGGATTTGAAAATCGACCACCGCTTTTCAGTGGAAGAAAAAGATGAGGAGTTAACTCAGGGTGGCTAAATAGTTATTTTGACATCAAAACACCTTTGTTGTTTTTAAAGAGAGGGGTATATTACAAACTTTCAAATTACAGGGTAAGTAGGGTATAATGGTAAGGCAAAAAAATAAGATTGGTTTTAAGGTTCACGCTGGGTATTGTCAGGGGAAAAAAATGCAAATTATGTTTTAATTGTTATAAATACACCTCTGCCTAAAATTGTATCCTTATTAAAATTACATAAGACAATGAAAACAAATGTTGATCAACTTGCAACATAGAATAACTTAACATTGATTTTTAGTTTGCAACAGAAAAGATTTGATCTTCATCAATTTGCCTGAATTTGAAAAAAAAAAAAAACACATGAAATGAGAGTGCCACTCCCATCTTCTGTAGAGGATTTGTAATTGCAGTTTAGTGTAGCATGCACTGTTATCACAAAGACAAATCATCTTTATCCCTGAAGTGATGTTATCCCAATGCCAGGGTATCTATTAGTAATCCTTGTGGAACACCACAAGACATCCTTTCCGTCCATCCATCCATCCATGCATTTTCTATCGTGGTTGTCTTCATTAGAATCTCAAGGCATGACTGTTTTTTATTTTAATTGTACAGTATACATTACTTTGGCTTTACACGTTCCTAAAATGAAAATATTGAAGTGACTGCATACAGCACAGAATCTTTCTTTAATTTGAGAATTTACTACCAGCAATTTTTTTATGTTTCATTTTAAAAGCAATTGAAACTGTAGCCAAAGTAAACCACGGCATGTACCCAACTGTGATTTCATTTTTGGTTCATCGTTCCCCTACTCCGACTTTACGCCTATGTCCTCCATTTCAAAATTGCGTCCTTTGAAAATGACTTACTTCGCTAACTGAGTGAGTGTGATACGAGGACGCCGGGTTTTCCCAAGTGCCATTATCCTAGTGTCTGTGCTATGGAGGCGGTTGTCATTGTCTGGCATTTGCCTTCCACTTCCTCGTGCGACCGTCCGATCATCCATCAATTATTCAGCGCTGAACTTTATGCGCAGCTCAACTGGAGCTCGCTCAATGCGTGTGTGTGTTTCTGTTTTTAAGACCCCCGGTGGGATAGATGGTAGCCTGGACGGCTCTTTTAAAGGTTGGAATTATCTCGAGCTTTGCACCTTGTATGTGTGAAGGGGGATAATTCATGCAAAAGGCACTAAATTCTCAACTCATCTCAACCTCTGGATATTGGGGCTGTCATTGACCAATCTTTTCATAATCGACTATTCCATTGACTACTCAGAAAATTGACTACCCCGGGCTGTGCAAATATGGTTTCATTATTAGTATTTACACTTTCAATCTTGTTGTTGGCTTACTCAAGTTAGCCATTTTTTCCCCCCCCCCCCCCCGAGCTCTCCGATCCAAATAGATGAGCCTTTGGAGTACTCTGGAGTTTTTTTGCAAGATGAGTTATGTTATACTAAAGCAAACTCTCCCACAAGCCATCTGTGTGTACTGACCCTGTACTGTTAGCCGCCCATAAAAACAACAATCCATGTTTTTTTTTTTTTTTTTGCATCGTCCTGCAAACTAACCATCAGAGTTGCTCAGAGATGCGAGAAATCTATTTCCGCAAATTGCAAGCATCCATCTTTGTATCTCTCCGCCACCTCCCACCCCCGAGCGCGCCACCTCCACCCACTTCCTGCCACCTCAGCGGGAGAAAGGTTAATACCCGTAACCGGCTCCTGTCTGCCTCTTGGCTTTACAACGGGACAAATGCAATTACTCAACCCCCTCCCCCCCCAAAAAAAAACAGCACTATAAATAATAACAATGACTAGAAATGATCAACAGAGCAAAATAAAAAAGTCTTTGGCACAAACACAAATGTTGTTACAGTTATGCAATACAATCGCTCCTCATCACTACCTTGTAGAAAAGAAATAAACACAACTAGAAGTAATCCACAGAGTCAACAAGTAGTTCACGACATCCTCAGTCATGCGATCATTTGCACAATGTATGCGTGACAAAATTTATTGTGAATATCTTTCCTGTTTTTCATGATAACCAATAGAAATAAACACAACAGCTCAGCCAAAAAAAAAAAAAAAGTTTGTGGCCATTTTTGTCACCTGTTCATTCACGCAATTATGGTATTGGATTCATCATATTCAGACTAAAATTCGAAAAATAACCGCCACCTCGCATAACAGAAATAAACAGCAGCACAAGAAATAATCCACAAAGAATGGGGAATTGCTTCCGAGTCTGTCACATTTCAAATGGCGACAATTCCCGTTCTCGATCGCCTGCCTCCGCAAGGCAATTAGCGGCAATCTCATGAAGACACCCAATCTCCATCGAGCTGGAGAATGACAATTAGCTTAGTGATGAGCAAAGTTAATGGTCCTCATCCTCGCGGCACTTAACCACCATTTTACAATGCTCCCTGGGGGAGGTACTCAATATCGCTAATGTCTACATTGTCATGTACACACTTTAAGTATGACCCCCAATGAAACTACTGTGCTTTGCTATAAGGGATTTGGAGGTAGTGCTCTCATATTAGAAACGTCATCATTTATTTTATTATTTACCAACATTTCTTTTTAAAATTTTTAAGTTTAAAAAAGTGTTAAAAAATTATGTGTAAAATATCATTTAAAAAAATTATTTAACAGCTTTAAATGTAGGTATTAAACAAAACGGACGTGAGTATTTGAGGAAGAAAAGAATCACTTTTAATCAAGGGTCTCAAACCTCGATCCTTGAGTGCCGCTTTCCGGGATGTTTTAGATGTTTCCCTCCTCCAACACACCTGATTTGAATGAGCAGGGTCCTGCAGAGCTTGCTGATGAGCTGATCATTTGAATGAGGTGCATTGGAGGAGGGGAAACATCTGATTTCATTTTTTTTTTCAGGAGTAAAATATTTTATTTGTCAGACAACCTGAAGAGTGAGTGACTATCTGAGGTGAAGTAATCAAAAGAGGACTTTCAGGAGTTAAAAAATAATATTGCGGTCATGGCAATTTATTTCAAAGAATAAAAAACATGATGTCGCAGTAGTTCTCCTTTACAGCTTTAAATGCTCACATTAAAATCATCTTCAGAGTGAATATCTGAAGTTACGTACAACGCCGATTCTCATCAAACAAGACAATATCCATCCATCCATCCATTTTGTAATTCCCTTATCCTCACGAGGGCCGCGGGTGTGCCGGGGCCTATCCAAGCTGTCTTTGGGCAGAACTGATTGCCAGCCAATCGCAGGGCACACGTAGAAGAACAACTATTCACGCTCACAATCACACCAAGGGACAATTTGGACTGCCCAATCAACCTGCCATGCGTGTTTTTGTAATTTAGGAGGACACCGGAGTACCGGAAACCCCACACAGGCATAGGGAGAACATGCAAACTCCACACAGGAAGGCCGAAGCCAGAATTGAACCCTGCACCTCTGCACTGTGAGGCGGACGTGCTAAGCAGTCGCCCACCATGCGGCCAACAGAACAATAAATACATTTATAAACAACTGAGGAGTGAAAACAAAAAAAATGACTACAGTTTAAAAATAATTCATACGGATTTTTTTTTTTTTTTAAAAAGAACAAGAGATGTTATCTGACAGATTTCTCTTAAAAAAGAATGAGGACTCGTTTGTTTAAAAGGCTTTAGACATTAGATGTAGGCTTTTTTTTAAAGATCACACTGCTCCTGGTACGCAAGTCAGGAAAGCTACAAAAATAACTCTGCTGCCCTCTTGTGGCCAATAAACAACATTACAGCTCTAAAATTGAGTCGACTGTGTCTGTTACCGGCGTACAGTAATGAGATAAGATAAGATAAGATAAGATAATCCTTTATATGAAACACAGGATGTAGATTGTAGTTATTTTTATTGTGCGAGGTGGCGGTTATCTTAATTGACATGAGGAGGATTCACACTATTTAAACGCCGCGTACATTGCGTTCTCCAAAATACGCATGTGGGCGAACCTTTTGTTGGACTTTGTGGATAATTTCTATTCGTTCTGTTGATCGTGATTCTTCAAACCGGCAACAAAGATGAATCATAGTAATTCATTACAATGGAATGTGTCTTACCTGTGTTGTTTTTGTCGTCTTCGGAAGACAGAAGCATAAAAAAAGGGGAAAAAACATGTTAAAAGAAAAAAAGCAATGACAACACGATCATGATAGATACCTTTGTACATGCTGCTCATTTTCAGTGCACACATAAAGTTTTGACATAGCGCAAGAACATCCTCATAGTAATTGTTTGGATCAAAATGTGTTCATAGCCTGTCTGATATGATGAAATTGAATCATTGTTTCAGAGTAAAGGAAAAGTCTATTTGTTTTGGGATAACAACATACTCCTCACAAACAATGTCCTATTTCAACTGAGACATGGAAAAAATATGTCTGACTTTTGTTCCTCATGTTTCCTATGCATGATGATTCTGATGCTTCAGGTTGAATTTCAGTATAATACAAAAAAGATGACTTGATGCAGAGTACAACCGCAATTCAAATAATTGTTGTCCACCAGATGTCAGCAACGGTGTCATTGTGCCCATGCGGAATAGAACTCCTTGGCAGTAGCTGCTTTTACATAATCTCATCGCATCCTCACAGTAAATACCCAGTATTAGATCCACCATCATTTATTGTTTATTGATGATTGACGGTCACCGCACATCAGGCTGTGACTCAAAGGCCTTGAACATTTCACTCGAAGCTTTCCCCAAATATAGAACAAGTCAACAACACTCCACCATGTTTCCAAACTGTTCGGGATTACGCAACCTACTTTCACATTGTCAGAGCTTTTTTTTTTTTTTTTAAACCAAAGATTCCCATAGCAACTTTAATGGTTGCCACGGCAACCCTAATAACCGGCTGGCAAACTGTGGCTTTCTTTCACCAAATCCTCATTCATTTGCACGTATGTGAGCAAATTGTGTACTTGAACTTGGACTGGAATGGAGCACTGACATGGATGCTATTTACCCGAAGGGAAGGAGCAGAATATATTTCCCGAGAAAGCTCAGATGCTCCAATGTGTACAGCAAGATGTTGGAGATATTCTACCAGTGTGATAGCAAGTACCATCTATTTTTCTGATATCTGCTGAGGCGTCAGCATCAGTATCAGGGATGCCACATTTCCCTTCATGAATTGAGATTCGCCTGGGGAAAAAAAGTCTTATGGCGAATGTATAGAAATATGCGTGACGTGTTATGACAACCGGTTCAGCCATTTTTTGTGTAAAGACGATCAAGTAGAGCCACAATGTTCTGGGGTGTCATACAATTCCACTGAGACCTATAAAAATCAATTTTGACCAACATGACATAAGCAACTGGTAAAGTCAGAAAGTATTGTACATTATCATTTGCGCGATTGTGCCAAAGCATTTGAAACTTGTTCCAAAGCAATGAGAAACTGCTTTTGGTTTGCACAAGTGACACAATGATGTGAAAATTGAATTTCTCAAAATTCAATTCTGATCTGAGAAATGTACCAAAGTAACTGAGAAAAAAAAACTGCTAGACGGCTGGTGACATCAGGGCACTGAAGAGAACATTGAGCAAACTTCTCTCCCTCCATCTTGGACAAATCATTAACATCCTCTCCACGACACTATGCAGCAGCAGACTTATTCAGCTTCACTGTCAGAAACCATGTTCATCTTTTACACCATTCACTATTCACTTACTGTACATAATTACTCACTGGGTGTGAGGAAAATGCTTGAGGACAATGTGCAATAATGGAAACATATTTCACATGTACAATCAATATTATGCATATACATGTGCGCACTTTACACTGTTGACACCATTTATAAATATTACTCCTTTACTGTCATCTGTTCATACTGACGTCACTGTGCAATGTCAAGCGTACACGCAATGCGTATTGAGAAATTTTTTGCATGCAAAATACATAATAGTATACTCCAAAGTATAATTAATCACTAAGTCATCATATATCACTGTCACTAAGAGACTTTCCCTTTGCGATTGATGTTAGAATGGCTCGAGCATCACATTTAACTCTCTGTCTTCTTCTCTTCCTGAGGGATTTTTTTTTTTCTTATGTTCTGTTGGTTGTTCCTATTTTGGTGTAACTGTGACTATTGCTGCTGTGACAATCTAATTTCACTCATGGGGCAGACAGACAGATAGATTAGAAAAAAATTAAACAAAATAGAGGTCATGTAATCTGAAGGTCGAAGGTGCATGGGGACCCAAAATTGGAGGAAAAAAATATTTTATTCCATTATGGATTAAGATGGTCCCACAAAAACTGCATGAAAAGTACTTGTTCCAGATGCTCTGTATTTCATTTTTGTTTGCTTTGGTCGTGTCATAGTGTTACTCACAGAGGCAAATGGGCTTAGGAGCGTCCCATTTTCCCAGTTTGGTGCAGTGGCTGACGTTGCGTCCCTCCAGAATGAAGCCACTGTGGCAGCGGTAGTGCAGAACCGACCCCTCAACCGGGGGCCCTGGGGGTCTCACTGTCACCTGGCCGTTCTCCAGAGACGTCCACACGCGAGGACACAGCAATACTGACAAAAAGAACACATATGTTAGCAGCACACAGCTAAAGAGGCTAACAAGTCAAGCTACAACATCTACAAGCTTAAAACGTCACTTTACATACTTTTACACGTTGCATTGATTATCTGAAGCAGTTGTCCAAATATGTTATGAGCATTTTTAGTTGTGTGTTAGCAATAGCTACATAGCATTAGCATCATTTTAGTTTTAGATTATCTTCCTACATGTTCTATTTGCTTTTTAGCTCCAGTGCTGTGTTAGTAATAGCATTCATTTCGTGCTGATTCACCATTATTTATCTTTAGATGCCTCGCAGACATAATAACAGCGAACCAATACATCTGGGTTAATTTGTTGGATTGAAGGGTTGAATATTGCTAAATGCTAATAGCGCCTACGTTAACACACGCAATGTGACTGCTATGCTGATGCTTAGCATTAAGATTAGCCACATTCTTTGTTAGATGTTTTAAGATTATTTAAAATCACATCATATAATAATAGAATTTACCAATGGAATTGGCATTGTTAGCTGTGATTGTCCTGTGGATACAACAAAACCCAAATCAGGTATCGGTAGTTAAATTAGCAAGAAAAGCTAAAAGGCTAACGTAGCTACCAAAGCACACGGTCAAAGTAACATCTAAAAATGAATACAACTTGTAAAATTATTTCCCATTGGTGTGAAACTCAATAAAATGTCTTTTGGGACTCACTTAAAGTGACAGGCACCAATAACAGATTATTTGGAACATTTTAGTCTCGGTGTGCTTTGGTTAGTCTTTTTTGAAACTGGCGGCAGGGTTTTTTTTTTAATCTGCTCTGTGTGTGTGTGTGTGTGTGTGTGTGTGTGTGTGTGTGTGTGTGTGTGTGTGTAGACTTCCCCTCCAGCAAGTATACAAATTTTCTGTGAAGGCCACCTAATCTGCAGCTTTGTATTTTTTGCAAAAAGAAGCATTACTTGAATGTAATGGACTCTGGGAATTCTTATTTGGAACATAAAAGAATGAAAATCAACAAAGGATTTCATCGCATCGCTGCACCCAAAACATGACCTGAATAGAAATTTCACAGTATTTTTTTTTTTTTTTAACTTAACTAAGCGGAAGACTGTCTTTTTTTTAACCACCTTGAGGGATGTTTTTGATCCAGGTTTTTTAGTTTGTTTCAGTAAAGCTGATGTCAGGGGCTTTTTATTTTCTTACTTTCCACAAAGCACTCCTGAGTCACTTTTGAGGGAGTGAAATGGTTCATTTTCGGCCTGATTTCCGACATGGCTCCTTGAGACTTTTTCATGTCCACTCAGTTTCATGTTGTGTCTTGTTTGTGTATCAGCCCAAACTGGCTGTTTCAAACAAAAATGGCAGATTTCCTGTTCACTTTCAGGCATGGAACGTTTTCGTGCGTCCTGTCACGACAGATGTGCTGTATTTTGTGCCGTTTGGTTAAAGCTGAAACTGAAAGAAAACCATTGCAGTCTTCGCATCCCCATACCCGAATACAAATAAAGACTCGAGTACTCACGACAGCTGCTGTGCTGCGTCATGTCTGTCCACGTGCCGTTGGGTAAACATTTCCTGACTTTAGGCCCCACAATCACGCGGTTCCCACGGCAGATGTACTCAATCTCGTAATCCACCGGTAAAATCTGAACACTACGAATCTGAAAAGGCAGTGATGAAAATTACATGGAGATCCCCCATGCGTTCAAGTCCTCTCAAAACAGTGCCATATGGTGGCAATCAGGGAAAAAAAAAAAACATTGCAGAGTTGTTTTCGTTTGAACAGAATTTGAATGACACTAAAACTCAATCGAGTGAAGGAATCTTTCTCCTCAATAAACTGCGCCCCCAGTGGTCCAAAAACGATATTCTCGATCAATATTTCCTGCATTTGTAGAATATGAATTAAGCAGAATAATCAAGACGTTTTTATCCATATCACAGTACCTCTAGACTCAGCTTACCAACGTCACAAGATCAAACCCGTAAAACAGGTGAGCCGTGACGGTCGTTACCTGCGACCTTAAAGACTTATCATAAACTCTCAAATTGATAGGTGTCACCCAAATGTATGAGTTTCTGGTATTGATCCTTGTGGGACACCGCCATTTTCAAAATACATTTGAAAACATCTTTGAAAACTCACTTTGAATTTATCTTTAATGGGATATTTGGTGTCGAATTTTGAGGGTGAAATCAAGTAAATCCATTTTGAATGATAAGACCGTTATAAAAACAAAAACAAAACAAAAAAAGATGAAACGTGAATTCTGTATGCACCGTATCCCAAAATGCTATTATTATTTTTATTTACTGACATGTTAGGGTGACTCTGTCAAAGAATGCAATGTGAACCAGAGACTTTTATCCCTATACGTTTATCCTGACATTTAACGCCCTACCACTTGTACAAGTTAATTACTTTTTTCAGTGTTGTTTTGTGCGATCATAAAACAAGCATATACTGTGTTTTTGATTGTATTTCTTGTCACCTGCTCTTGTGTCAGGCCTCTGTAGCGGATACCTCCATCCCTTGGGGGCCGGATGATGGCACAGCCTGGGAAAGGGAAAAAAAAAGAAAAACGAATGACAGAAGGAAAAGCCTTTCATTGGATGAGGTTGATAAATTACAGCAAAACACGACACATGAAACACGGTCAATTTAGCTGACAAATCGTGCTCTCAACGGACTTCATTCCTTCCCATCATCCCACGCACAGTCACGCACACACACGCGCGCACACATACATGCACAAATTACCTCCAGTTGATGAATTATGTATGGGCACAACAAGAGATGGTAGAATGTGGAGTACCAGTAGAAACAAAAGCGCCATCATGACTCCACCTAGAAGACAAAACAGAGGGCGAGTGCTCATATATGATATATTATTATTATTATTGTCATTTTAAAATGTTTTATTCATTTACACAAACTACTCGTAGTGTTACAACATTCCAAAGCTCGTGATGTTTTCCTTAAGGTCCCAAAGTGTTTCTAATTGTCAAAGTGTTCCTGGATTTCTCATTCTGCCACAAAGGAGTTCTTAGTCTTTTTCGTTGTTCCCCACGTGATTCTATGGGACTCTAGGGAGTGTTTCCACTGCAGCAAGAACCTCAACACCCGAGTCTCCAGTACTCCAAGTGTGCTACTAACTGCCAGTATTTTTAGTGTTCCTTCGATTTCTTGACATTCCTGAATTTCTGTCATGATTCAATAAAGCTCCAACGTTGGCACATGGAGAGCCACTAAGAGTCTAAATGCTACATTATGCTAAGCAGTTAAAAAGTCCAAAGACTTGAATCGACACAGTGGTCCCACGAGCATGCTGAAACACACACACGCTCGCACACAACAAAGACACTAAAAATAGCTTCTCATTTGCACTTTGGAATAATAAACTTTGTAAAACTTCAAATGACACCAAGTTCGCATGCTGTATATATATATATA